CTTGATTTAACTGTTGAACATTACCTTGAAAATATCACATGTTGAATTAAAATATGCTTTAAGGAATTAGAAACTCTAGCATGTAAACTAGATGGAAGTGAGCATACATTGGAAATTGAAAAATTAATTCTTGAAACTAAATACAAATCTTTTAATTAAAAGCTTAAAAAGGAAACAAAATGCATCCAACACTTATACAGTTTCATAACACGCCATCATAGTATGTATTCAAATCTAGGAAGAGGCACCATAACCCACATAAATTAATAAACCCTTTTTCTGGAGTTAGATATTTCTCTTGTGACATGTTAGGACACATCTCCCATACTTACACTATCCCCCATAGAACACATTTAGTGTGGAGATCAAAATTGCATAATTTATAGCATAACATGCAAGCATTTTCATCTCACATTTCATAAGATTAAACCCAAACTTTTTTGGGTTCTCAAATCTGACCATTGATGATTTTGTGGGGATGCTCTTACAGAAGGCCTCGTGAGTGCATGTGATACCTGTACATTAGATGTTGAAGGCACATGACTAGAGATGCAAATCAATTCATTTCGCTGAAGACCAAAGCAGGAGACAAGGTGAAACTTGGAGATAATACGTACCACTAGGAGAGTGATGGGCTTAGGTATACTTGGAAACTCAAAAAAAAATTCTTATTGAAAATATTTTACTAGTAGATGGTTTATAATATAACAAGTTTAGCATAAGTCAGCTCTATGATAGAGGCTTTAGCATTAATTTTTTATTTATCAGCTATATGATAAGCTTAAATGAAAATATTATACTTCAAGAATTTTTTTTTTTACAATATGCTTTACTTTTTTATATTAATTATTATGATATAAATTAATAGATTTTATACATATTGAAATAATTTTTTTTATTTTAAAAACCTGAAGCTTCTTATTTCTAGGCATTTTTTTCTTGCATTAAAAATTAAATGCATAAAAATATTTTAGCTCATTATTTTTAACTAAGTATATAATATTTTAAATTGTACTAATGTTAGCATAAATAGCTCGTGAGCCGAGCCATATGAGTCAACGAGTTAAGCTTGAGTCTTCCTCGACTCAACTGGTTAGCTCGGGCATCAGATCTTTTTAAAAATATTATTATAAAATACACTTAAAATATATTAGAATTCAGAAGTTTAAATATAAATTAATATTATAAATAAATTTTAGAAATTATATCATACTTTTTTATATCATATAATTATTTATTATTTATCTGCTTTTTTTTTATTTTTGAAACATTTAGGTCATTTAAGGTATACTCACATACACAATGCATGCACAAACTAGAACCCAAGATTTCTTAGTTGGAAGCCTAAGCTCTCAACCAACAAGCCAAAATGAGTTGTGTATTTTCTTATAATTTTATTATAATAAATATTTGAATCATAATCATTTTTTCTTGCAACAAAGCTTTTGATAAAAATTGGTATATATAATTGTTATACTATGTAAAGTTATATTAGGCTTTCTAAATTTTAATAGGGATGAGAGTCACTCCTGGCCCTTCTCTGATTCCGGGATTACCTCTAACTATACTATATATCCAAAGTACAAGTTAGAGATGTTAGAGTATTACAAACATGCTCCGCCAGCACACCTCACCGCTCACGTTCTCCTGCACGCGCTCCGACGGCACGATCGCTTGAGCAGCTGCCGTGACAGTCTGCCATCAACGGCCGTCTGCTATCCTAACTACCTGTCTCTTACATCTCTATAAAACCATTGTACAATCCTAAGATGATTTTCAATGAAATGAATACATTCATTCCTCTGCATCGTCTTCCTCCTCTCTGTTCTTCGCTAAGCTCTCGCAGGTCTTTCTTCATAGTATCAGAGCTGTGACACTGGGCCTCACTTCTGCCCTTTTTTTTTTCCCCAGCAATGACGGAAACGAATTCCTCGACACAATCTAGGACATCTTCCTCACTGTCCTCATCCATGGAAGCCATTGTCATACCACCGTCACTTAAATTTTTGATGAGCAACCTCAAGCTAATAGTACACACACAGCTCACTACAGACAACTATGCTATTTGGAGACTCCAAATCTATCAGGCATTATCCGCAAACAGCTTTGAAGGCTATATCACTGGCACCGTTGTCTGTCCTCCGGAGACATCTGAGGCCGATTACAAGCTCTGGAAGCTTGTGGATCAAAACCTCATCTCCGCTCTCTTCTCCACCATCTCACCCTCTATTCTCCCCTACATTCTGCACCTAAAACCCTTTTGCGGTATGGCGGGCACTGGAGCTGAGATTGCAGCCGACAAACCGATCAAGGGTAATACAGCTGAAAAACGAACTACATAACGTTCAAATGAGAGATCAAACGATCTCACAGTACCTGAGCGAAGTGAAATCACTCGTCGACAACATCTCAGCAGCCGTAGGCTACGTGAATACAAAAGATATCATTTTGTACACTCTCAAAGGTCTACCTGGCTCCTTCAATCCATTCACAGCCATCAGGATCTCACCATTGCCCATGACACTTGAATCTCTATATTCACTGCTATGCAGTGAGGAAATAAACTTACAAACGGAAATCCAGCAGGATACGACCACCACGAACGAGCTACAAGCTCTGTACACCTCAAGGGGCCGTGGACACACCTCAAACAACAGAGGAGGTCGAGGCACAGGAGCTGCCTTCAGTTCTTCCACTGCATCAGTCAGACCAGCAAACAATACCCCACGCAATGCCGACAGACCCACTTGCCAAATCTGCGGCAAAGCGGGTCATCTAGCATTGGCTTGCTGGCACCGCTATAACTCCAATTACACATAGCAAAGTCTATCAAGCAGGGCTCTTCTCACACAAACGCAACCCAGCTTCACCATTGACTGGGTACTCGACTCTAGCGCTTCTACCCATCTCACACCAGACATCGCAAACTTACAGCATTCCCTTCCATACCAGGGAAAGGACTCTTTGTCCACCGCAAGCGGATCATCCTTACCAATCCACCACGCAGGTGCCGGTCTCGTACCTCTTCCAGAAACCAATCGTAAGCTCAAATTACACGATCTTCTTCATGTCCCTTCTCTCTCACACAATCTCTTATCTATATCTAAATTAACCAAGGATAACAACTGCTCAATCTCTTTTGATTCTCGTGGCTTCACTCTCAAGGACCTTCAGGACAACAGCATTCTGCTACATGGCCCCAACCGTGAAGGAATCTACCCAGTTCGTCTTCCTCGACTTTCCTCTGCCAACACCCTCTACGCTGCCATCGACTCCACTGCTCTCTGGCATGCCCGCTTGGGTCATCCACACCACCGTGCAATGACCACACTATCTAGGCTTCTACCTAATGCTAATATTAAGCTCTTTAATTTTCACTTCAACTCCTGTAAAGTGGCCAAGAGCCACAAGCTTCCGTTTCCAAAGGAAGCTCACCATGTAAAAATTCCCTTCAAGTTAATTCATACAGACGTTTGGGACCCTCTCCTCTTCCCTCTCTCTAGTTACCGTTATTATATACTATTCATAGACGATTGCACGTGCTTCACCTGGTTATACTTAATGCATTCCAAGAACGAATCAATTACAAAATTTCAGCATTTCCATACTATGATCAACACTCAATTTAAAACTTCAATTCAAAAACTAAGGTCAGATGGCGCTGGCGAATTCACTGGCCATGCCTTCCAAGACTTCCTCACTAAGCACGGCAAACATAAGCTGCCCCTAGACCCCGAGAAAAACAGTGTTTCTGAACGAAAACACCGGCACCTCATCGAAACCGCACGCACTCTCCTTCACGCTGCAAGCTTACCATTCAAATTATGGGCCGAGGCTGTTCAGACTTCCAACTACCTCATCAATCGCCTCCCATCTTCCTCTTTAAACAATCAAATTCCACTTCAGCTCCTTCATGGCAAACCACCTTCCCTCACACATCTAAAGATCTTCGGCTGCTCCTGCTTTCCCTGGCTCAGACCACAAACAACCCATAAACTCGCTCCCCGATCATCTCTATGTATATTTCTCGGATACTCTACCTCTCACAAAGGCTACCGATGCTTCAATCCTCACACCAACAAACTTCACATATCTAGGCACGTTACATTCAATGAACAGCAATTCCCCCTTGCATCTACTCAAGCCTCCTCACACTCATTACAGATCCCCCAGTCACCGATCTCACCAACCAACATTAATCCCCTGCTTCTCATTCCCACCTCAACATATACCAACTCTATTCCACCTCGGGCCTCTATAGTGACCTCACTCATCTCTACTAACTCCACTTCTAACACTAATTTCTCCTCTGATACAGCATCCACCACTCACACCTCGCCCGTTCTCGAAATTTCAAATCTCCCTCTTCTTGCGCAAAAGCATCACATGGCAACCCGATTTCGGACCGGTCACTTGAAACCAAAGAAAATCTTTGATTTTCTTGCTATCACAGATACCACCTCTACTCCCACCTGCTATACCCAAGCCGCTAAAATTCCATACTGGAGACAAGCCATGTCATCAGAATTCATGGCTCTGCAAGCTCAAGGCACCAGGCATCTCATCCCCCCTCCCAACAATACTCCCATCCTCAGTTGCTGATGGACTTACAAGACAAAACTCAACACTAATGGCACAGTCAATCGCTACAAAGCTCGGCTTATAGCTCAGGGATTCACTCAACAACACGGCATTAACTATCAATAGACCTTTAGCCCCGTGGCCAAAATGCCGACCATTCGCGTCCTCCTCATCATCGCTCTCCACCGTGGCTGGCCAATTCATCAACTTGACATCAACAATGCATTTCTCCACGGCGATCTCCAGGAAGAAGTTTACATGAAGCAACCTCAAGGCTTCGTCAATCCAGCCTACCCGAACCATGCTGCAAACTACATAAAGCTATGTATAGCTTCAAATAGGCTCCTCGTCAGTGGTTTCACAAATTGACGACCTTTCTTCTTGCCTTCGGGTTTCAATTCAGTAAGGCAGATCCCTCCATGCTCACCTATGATAAACAAGATGTCCAGCTCTTCCTACTGATATACGTCGACGATCTTCTTCTCTCCGGTAATCATCAACCAACACTACAGAACCTCCTTACTCAGCTCAAGCAGACATTTTCCCTCAAACAGCTGGACAATGCCAACATCTTCCTTGGCATTCAGATTCAACACACATCAAAGGGTCTGTTCCTCCATCAAGCTCACTATGCTCGTGACATCCTTCACTCAGCTGGCCTAGACTCTTCCAAGCTAGTGACGACCCCTGTCTCTCCCAAAGAACCAAAGACCAAGGAAGATTATTCACCTTACGATAACTTAACATTCTATCAGCGGATAGCAGGATCCTTGAAATATCTCACTGTGACAAGGTTGGACATCGCCTTCGCCACCAATGTCATATGCCAGCATATGCACAGCCCCTCCGTTGCATACTTCAAACGTCTTAAACGCCTTTTACGTTATATAAAAGGCACTCATGACTATGGTATGACCATCAAACCTGGATCCCTCAGCCTCACTGCTTATGCCGACGCCGACTGGGCATCAAACTCTGAGGATCGCAAATCCATCAATGGCTTTTGCTCTTACCTCGGATCAAATCTCATATCTTGGAGCGTAAAGAAATAGTCCACCGTCGCCAAATCTTCAACAGAGGATGAATATCGCGCTCTCGCTGCTGCAACATCAGACGTCATCTGGTTACGTTGTCTTCTCAAAGATTTCAAAGCTCCGCAGCCTCTCCCAACTCCGATCCTTTGCGACAATGTATCTGCCATTGCTCTTGCGAACAACTCCGTCTTTCACGCACGCACAAAGAACATTGAAATCGATCACTATCATTAGTGATCATATCAATCGCAAGGCAATAACTGTAAATCACATCAGCTCTACCGACCAACCGGCGGACCTCCTCACCAAACCACTCACCGGTCCCAGGTTCGCCGAGCTGAGGAACAAATTGACGATCTGCAAGCCGACCATCAATTCGACGGGGGATGTTAGAGTATTACAAACGTGCTTCGCCAGCACACCTCACCGCTCACGTTCTCCTGCACGCGCTCCGGCGGCACGATCGCCTGAGCAGCTGCCGTGAAAGTCTGCCATCAACGGCCGTCTGCTATCCTAACTACTTGTCTCTTACATCTCTATAAAACCATTGTACAATCCTAAGATGATTTTCAATGAAATGAATACATTCATTCCTCTGCATCGTCTTCCTCCTCTCTGTTCTTCGCTAAGCTCTCGCAGGTCTTTCTTCAAGAGATAGAGATAGAAGTTAAAGAAAGAAGAGAGGATAAAAAGAGATAAATTAGAGAGCATGCAATTAAAAGAGTACCAAAATCATATTTTTAATTCAGCAGAGAGTCTCTCTCTTAGCATATTTATATTATTGTCATTAAACATTTAGGATTTCAGTATCGTTTGGGACTGCTTTATTAATGCTTCTTAAAATAACGTTTTAGTAAAAAATTAATTTTTTGTACTAAAAAACTATTTTATGAATCAATAAGAAAATCCTCCCAAACAAAACCTTCATATGCAACAACATTGTTACTGTTTTTGTCCGAAAATAAAAATAAAAAGAAAAGAGAAAAAAACATTGTTATGCTACTTTTTCAGTATAAAGATCTCTTCAAAGTAGGGAAAGAATAATAATCTAAAGTTATTCCAAATGAAGCCTTGGTGCCTTCTAATAACTTAATGTGCCTTAGAGAAAGAGTGGAGAGAGAAAGAGAGAGAGAGAGAGATTCCATGCATATGGCTGAGCTGAGCTGAGAGCTCTTCCACAAAGTCCTTTTTGCGGACAGTACAAAAAGGAAGGGCTTGAAGAAAATAACAGTAAGAACTATATATATATATATATTACAATATAAATTTATTATATATTAAAAGTGTCTGTCATCTTTAAGAAGAGGTTCCCTATGGAATAGACCCAAGAATGGACATATGGTAGAGCAAAGAGCACAACCAAACATAACTGGAGCAAGTTGAGCAGAAGGTGTGTAGCCAGCCAGGGGCTCCAAATTGTTGTCTTTCTTTTTGTCATCTTGTAACATAGCAGAATGTTGTTCAGTGAATATCATTTTACTGAAATTCAGAATTTCAGCGCAAATTATCTGCATTAATTTTGAATCTTTGACCGCCTTATGTCAGGATTCAAGATCTAAGAGGCTTGCATATCTAATCATCTGAATGCTTATGTTAAGAATGGTAGAGGTAACTAAAAAAAAAGATTTGATTAGAATGTATTTGAAATAATATTTTTTATTAGATTTAAATAAGAATTTGATTCTTAATATGACATAAAGATTAAAAAATAAAATTAATGTAGCCAACCCCATGTAGTGGGAAGAAGGCTTGATCTTGCTGTTGTTGCAAATTTTATTAGAATATTGTAACTTTTTTTTTTCAAATTATTAGTAAAGCTTCGTTTGGGACGGCTTTCTTACTGCTTCTTAAAACATTTTTTTAATGCAAAAATTAAAAATTTTATACTAAAAAGTTATTTTAAGAAGCTGTAAGAAAGTCGTCTCAAATGAAACCTAAATCCATTTGAAAAAAATCTGACTATAAATACTTGATCATGAGCAATCCTACAAAATTAACCCTTTCATAAAATCTTTAATTTGAAATTTTCTTTTTTCATGATGCTAAGCGTTTGTTAAGAAACTTTTTAAAAATAATTGTGAACAAAGTCACACAATTAAGAATAATTCTTAATTTCTTATGAAAATAACATTACATGTTTATTTTCAAACAAATTTGAATTACATATGTGCCCCCCACTAATGAAACCAAATCCAAAGTGAGAAGCTGGAATGTTGAGAACTGCAGAAACTGATTTGTAGGATATTCACAACTGGACAAGCCAGATAACTCAGCTAGCTACACAAGCCATAGGCTCCATTGAAAGCCAGTTTCAATTACTTCAATTTGGGCTAAACCAATAAGGTCTTTGGGTGTGAATTGTGGTCCCTTAGACCAAGCCTTGTGGCCTTCTTGTTGGTTTTAGGCATCTTGATGTGAAATAAGACTAAGGGGAAGGTGAGAATTCCAAGTACACAGGAAGAGGACTTGCAAACAATTCCATGTGATTGTGGACCCTCTCACTAATATGAACTGTGGAACACCACAAACATGTTGAATCCATTTTGCTAAAGATATTTGAAATATTAAGGCATCAGGCTTCATTTGGGATAGCTTTTATACTGCTTTCCAAAATAACATTTTAGTACAAAAATTTTTTGAATTAAAAATTTTGTTAAAAATAAAGTTTCTTCAGGAAACAATAAAAAAACTTTCCCAAGCTTCATTTTCAATGGCTTTCTTACTGCTTCTTAAAGCAGCTTTCTAGTTGCTTTAAGAATCAATAAGAAAGCAGTCATTTGGGACGGTCTTTTTATTGCTTCTTAAAGCAGTTTTCTAGTAGAAAAAAATTATTTGTAGTACTAAAAAGATGCTTTAAGAAGCAGTAAGAAAGCCGCCCCAAATAAAGCCTTAATTTACCCACAAACGCAAACTACAGTTACCTTCTAGGTTGGCATTTTCTTCACTAAATAGCACAAACAGTCTTGAATAGTAATTTAGAAAAGTAATAATAATAATATGAGGGCTGCAATGAATAAAACTATAGTAGACATATGTAATGGAAGAGGGGGACATACACATCAGAAAGAAAAGTTAAAGGCATGGCTCTCTGCACAATGAGAAAGGGGGGAGTAGAGCCCAAGAGGAGTGAGTGATGGAATGTTTTTTCCCTTTCTCCTTGAGAGGCACAAAGCAGTGCCACAACTCAGGACAAAAGCATGAGCAAAAAGGTGGGAAGAGAAGAGGGGGTGGGGCTTCTTCTTATAGAGAATGTAAGGTACTCATATATGTGAAGCTTGTGTGTTGAGATGTATATCAAAGAGTGGAGATTAATGTATTAATCAAAAATAGAAAATGTACGTGTTGCATTTTACATATAAAAATAATTTTGTTTATTATCTTAAAACTTTTAATTTAATAAATTGAGATCAACTTCAACTCCCAAAATGCTCGCCCTTACCTCCTAATAAGCATTATTAGCGCCACTTCTATATTTTTTAGTTATATATAATTGAATTTGTTTAAGAAGTGTAACTAAATATTATATTATCGACCCTGTTATTTTTAACTGATGACAAAATGTATTATTATTAAGTTATTATTTAACATTATCCACATTTTTAATGTATTTTTTAATTATATGGATTAGATTAGCGCACTGATTTAGAAAGTTTATGATTTGATCTACAAAACCTATTTTGACATGGATTTAAGAAGATAAAAGTTCACAGGACCTAATTTTATTGGCCCAAAAATCTAGAACTAAAGTGGTTGAATCGACCCTACTAGACTCAATGCAAAAAAATTGAGCATATGTCTAAGGCTTTATTTGGGACAGCTTTTTTATTGCTTCTTAAAATAATTTTCTAGAACAAATTTAATTTTTTTGTGCTAAAGAACTGCTTTAAGAAGCAGTAAGAAAGCCATCCCAAATGAAGCCTAAGAAAATAGTCTAATTATTGAGTTGTGTCAATTTGGTTTTATGCCAGCCTCTTAGACCTCCGGCTCGATTCTGCGTAGATGGAACAACTCATGCCCAAGTCTAATATAACTTTTTATAATTATTACTTACCAATAAAAATAACTAAAATTATTAATCACAGTCATATTATATGTCACATTTCTTTAAAAACATATGACCATAAAGCCAAATGTAATTAAAGATTCTATTTTAATCATAGTTTCATTAAATAATTTGACCCAAAATTGCATGGTGAGCTTACAATTCCACTATGCTGAAATTTGTTGCGCAGTATATGGCTCCCAAATGTTCTGTGGATTATATCATCATTTTTAACAAAATTTAGGTTTCTTTTGGGATGACTTTCTTAATGATTCTTAAAATAATTTTTTAGTACAGAAATTATAATATTTATACTAAAATACTGTTTTAAAAAACAGTAAAAAAATCATTTCAAATGAAGTCTTAAAAGCAGAAGATGACACCTACAAAACTCTGTATAATTAAATGAATTCTTCGTTCATGATTTAAATGTTTTCATTTAATAAAAATATGATAGTACTCATTTAAAATTAATTGTTGAACATGCGCTACAAAAGGAGAGACAGTGAAGCATCCAAGAAATTTCAGGTTTGAATGCTAAGGAGAATGTAGCATGATGCATGCCAAGAGGGTGGACCCCACTACCCCTCCCTAAAGCCTTTAATCTGGCCCCACATCTCTCTCTCCAGATCTCTTTCTCTCTCATTAATAGGCTCACCTTTTGTTGGAGCTCAGCTCAGTCTACAATACATGGATTCTCTTTGTCAGAAGTAACCCATCATTCATTCCCTCCATTTCAATGGGGGTCCATAAAAATATATATAGAGACAGATCAAGAGGATATCCTCTTTGTCTTAGTTTATTGATCTATCATTGTTAAAGCTTACTAATCTGAATGAGACAAATGAATGATCATCAATTTGCTTTTCATTATCAGCCTCTTATACTATTCTTTTTGTCTATTATTTAAACACTTGCTTCATCTGCCAAACTAAAGAGTAGAGCTTTAGCTTTTAATCTTCCTATTTACTTTTCA